TGTAATACCACGTGCTAGTAGGTCGGATGTGTAGTATAGCGGATTTGGCGTAGGTCAGAAATGGAGTATGGCGGATATGTGTAGGTCGAAAAATACACCACCGAAATTAAATCTTGTTTTAGATCCGAATCCTGCACCAAGTTATTACAACGCTAGCTCTGGTATGGAAGGGCAAGTTTATCCCAACTATACTGAACCCTACGGGAACCAGCATATCCCTGCTACAGCCACTTCGGGGGAATACTCTAGAGACCAGCAGATAAACGACGAACAGGTTCAACATTTTTGTTCGTTTTTGTTTAACTCTAGGATACTTTTTATACTATTTGATCATGATATTCAATAAGATTAACTTCATCACTGTTAAAACGATGTGGAAAAAGATGTATTAAGGAATTATGTCTTATGATATATTATTATAATTAAGGCATTATATTTTGGTATGTGGGTGTAGGACAGCCCTAAAACCTTGATTTGATTTGATTTGATTATATTTATCTATGGCATTAAGCTTTTTACATCCTTACCTATAGCTCCGTATACCCCAGCCATTTCTTCACAATAAAACATTGAAAAATGACAATATTATAATTAGTGATTTTTTGTAAAAGTTAAAAAATAAAAAATTCAGGACAGATTTTAAAATAAAAAATGAAATACAAGTTAACTTAAATCACGGGAATACTCACTCAGTAGGTAGTCTTAATTTAATTTTCCTGTCCCCCCCCCCCATATAGGCCTAATGTGAGGGGGGAGGCTATTGGGAAAAATGAGTATCCCTCTGTAAAAATAAAATTTCTAATAAATGACGAGGTTCTGCAGGATATATTAACCCCTGGGATATGATGGGTGGGAGTGGTGGGAACTATCATGAGTTCTACAACTCTCTGAGAATGTACCACAATGCCTGGGCCCAGTACTTCTATCAAATGCAGGGTATGGAGTATCCGGGTTGGAGCAATCCTTTCCACCAGTTTCAAGGTAAAGAGAGAAACTTTAATGTTTTAGGGAAAGCAAAATACTGAAGAGTTTGATGTTGATAAAAGTATCAATAT